GGTGACACCAGAGAGCTTCCTGTGTCTCTGTGGCCACAGAGGGTGATATGTTATCTCTGAGGCAGCGTTAGAGTGTGCTCTACATGCTTAAGCTCTACAGTTGATATGGAAAAAGTGTCATGGTTGTGTGTAATGATAAAATGTTTATGCAAAAATAAAATGATGTTTGCAATAAAGTGCATTTACTTACTATCACTGCAGCATTAGTTGCGGCAATAGTGGACGTAAACACACTATTTTATGTGATAACACGAGTATATTTCCACACTTATTTCCCAAACACCATCCACTACAGTACTGTTTTTTAATGCGAGTCAAGCTGCAGCTCAGAGTGCAAAGTAGGTTGCACAACAATTTTCTAGAGAAGTGATCTTATCTGTAGCTTCATGTGAGCGACTCAAGCTGTAACAGCAAAGCAGCTGTATGATTGGGTTTGACATCTCCCACCCCCCTCCCCTTCAACAATGAGCCTTTTGTCAACAAGAGAGCTGTGGTGACCTTTCTCACAAAACTTAAAAACTTGCCTGAGAGATGCATCGTGCACCCACAAGGCATTTTCCACCAGGGTACATAGTAAAACGCATCACTGAGTAGAGATATATTTCCTTATGTCTGTGCTGCAGCAGCTTCATTATGCATTCACAATTAGAGACTACCAAAGTTGTGTGAGTGCACAAAGCGTGTCTGTGTGTGTGCATGTGTGTGTTCCCTTTCTTATGTCGCCCCAGCTGATTGTGCCTGGCTGTCAGCCCTGCAGTGGGAGCTCCCGTGCTCGCTGAGTCCCAGCACAGTGTGCTCTGCTGTTGGTGTTGCCTGTCACATGTGGCTCCATGTGAGGCTTTTGCAGGAGCATGCAGGAGGAAGGAGACCTGCTCTGTTCACAGCTGTTCAGGCCAGTACTGACTGTTCTGTGGAACTGTGTGGGTGAGACTGTCTGACTCCCCCCCTCCCTCCTCTACACGCTCACTGATTGCCTCTCTCTTCTTCCATTACAGCTGGCAAAACACATGCTAAAGGCTAACACTGTTAGAACCACAAATCTTTAATTCTCTTCGTGATTTCTGACCACAGTGTTCCTGCTATGCATTGTAGTGTTTGTGCACAGCAGACTATAGTATTAAATGTGCAATGAATATATGTTTGTGTGCGTGTGTGTGTGTGCTTGTGTGACCACACGCATTTTTTGCTCTTGCTAAACTGGTGTGATTTATACATGAGCACATGGTCAACTGTAAAATATGACAACTATTTTCCGTAAACAAGGAAGTAACTATGATGCCCTTTAAACTCATCTACTGCATTGTAAATGGGGGGAAGGATGGCACTCTGGCTCCATCTACTGGTGTCTCTTTTCTTTGTCCACAGATGACGTTAAAGGAACCACTTTCCTCGCTCAGGTCGGCTCAGGCCTTACAACTTTCATATTGGAAACGTCTTTTTTGTGTACATTTGAATCAGAATGACACCTGACAGCAAGCCTTCGGGTCTATTTTGTAAAGTTGTGGGGAGTCGGAGGGTTAACTCCGATAAAGTTAACGAAATCTTTGTTTCTTTTCCTGAACCTACACAACAAATTTATTTCTTTTTACTCATATAGTTTGTACATGTATGGTCATTTTAGAGCTCTACATGCAGATCTGCTCTGACACTAAATACAATTCTGTTCAAAAGCATTGAAGTACCCCTCATTTCATGCCTCAAGGCCTCAAGATGCTCATAAAGCGCCTTGAGGCAACTTTTGTTGTGATTTGGCGCTATATAACTAAAATTGAATTTAATTGAATTTCTTTATATTTTGTTAAGCCATTTAACACTGTTATGGGCCATTCGATCCCTACACAACCGTTGCAAGAGCTTGGTTCACATTGCCGGCAATAAGTCGGGCTCCGCCAGGGCTGCCCTTTGTCTCCGGTTCTGTTCATAATTTTTATGGACAGGATTTCTAGGCGCAGCCAAGTGGCGGAGGGATTTCACTTTGGTGGCCTCAGAATCTCATCTCTGCTTTTCCTCCAGTTTTAAATTGTATCTTAATGCACGTTGTTGCTAGCCGCCTGTCACAAAAACACACAATATTTTCTCATTTCGTTCGCTGAATTTACAAAAAATGCCAAAGTTAACACAGTTTGACAGACATAAAACTGTTCTTTTGCACCAACAATGTGATTCCTAAATACTACATTACAATTTGGTACTTAACCATGGTAAATGGCCTGTATTTGTATAGCGCTTTTCTAGTCCCTAAGGACCCCAAACGCGTTCAGTCATCCACCCATTCACACACAGGTGATGGCAGCTACATTGTAGCCACAGCCACCCTGGTGCGCACTGACAGAGGCGAGGCTGCCGGACACTGGCGCCACCGGGCCCTCTGACCACCACCAGTAGGCAACGGGTGAAGCGTCTTGCCCAAGGACACAACGACCGAGACTGTCCAAGCCAGGGCTCGAACTGGCAACCTTCAGATTACAAGGCGAACTCCCAACTTTTGAGCCACGATCGCCCATAAATCATAAAGACCATAAATTGTTTGGCAGGTTGCTCTTTTCTTGTTTATTGATGTTGTTGTCTCAGAGCCTTTAATAATGAATACTTTAAAACTGTCTGAAACTACAACAAAATACATATGAAGGTAAATATGCTGCAAAATGTGAGATCTTGTAGAATAAAAAGTGAAATGCGTCGTATTTTACAAAATGAGCTCACAGTTCCTGTTTTTGGCCAGATAGGGGCAGCAAAGATAAGTAGCAAACACCTCTCTTTTCAGTTTGGGGTTGCTGTTTGTTGGCCAGCAGTTACCAATTTACAAATTTATCTCATATGGAAAATATTTAGGTTTGTTTATTTATTTATTAATCATTTGTCCACCCACTGATAAATTTGAGTACTTTCTTTATAGCTTTGTTTTTGCTAGGAAACAACTCCTGCAGTAACGTGTTACTTCTAACTATCAAATGCTCCACTAGCTGTCAGCTAACTGTGCATTTTCTTTTATAAAGGCTACAGAAAGCTTGATCACTATTACAAGCAAGAAGTGTGACTACAAGCAACAAAGTTATTGCTGTGAATTTGTCCTAAAAGATAAGTAAATATTTATTTAACTCATTTTAAACAAGATAAAAAATGAAAAAACACAGCTCATGGAGAAGCTTGTGTTGCACCTCCCTTTGCTTTCACAACTCTCTTAATTCTTTATAACATGGTTTCATTTATAGCAGGTGCTGTAAACATTCCTCAGAGATTTTCTTTCAATATGGACATGACAGGATCAAACAGTTCCTGCAGATTTGTCAGGTGCACATCCCTGATGAGAATCTCGGTTACATCAAATCCCAAAGGTGGTCTGTTGGATTCAGATCTGGTCATCTGGTCATCTGTAAGAAACCAGTGTGAGATTATTAAGGGTTTGTGAAATGGTGCATTATCCTGCTGGAAGCAGCCATAAGACGATGGGCACATTGTGGTTATAAATAGATAAACACAAGGAGACTGTGACATTTAAAACAATCCTCAGTTACTATGTGGCCAAAGGTGTTTAAAAAAATATCCCAACACCATCCCCACCATGCTGTACTGTTGATAAAAGGCAGGATGGATCCATGCTTTCATGTTCTTTATGCCAAATTTTGATCGAGACTCAGCAGACAAGGTAACCTTTTTTTTTCTTCTATTGGCCAATTTTGTCGAGCCAGTGTAAAATGTAACCTCAGTTTTCTGTTTGTAGCTGACAGGAGTGTCACCCAGTGTGGTCTTCTGCTGCTGCAGCCCTTCCGCTTCATCGTTTGATGTCCATTCAGAGTAGCACTTCTGCATCTCTTGGTTCTAACCAGTGGTTATTTGAGTTACCGATGCTTCCTGTCACTGCAAAGCAGTCCATGCTCCTCTGACCTCTAGCATCTACAATGCACTAATGGGATATTTTCTATTTTTCAGACCATTTCAGACCAAAAGCAGTTTTTAAAAAATACTCAGACCAGCCCCTCTGGCATGTTCAAAGTAATTTAAATCACTTTTCTTGCCCATTCTGATGGTCAGTTCGAACTTCAGCACCTCATATGCACCATGTCTACAGGCCTGAAAGCAATGAATAGGTGCCATATGATTGGCTGATTAGACATTTGTAATAATGAGAAGCTGAACAGATGTACCTAATAAAGTGGCTGGTGGATATGTATGTCATCACGTTCACTTGTAAACACAGAAAAGCAGTTGCAGGTGAATGCAGGCCTCGGCTCTCTCCTATTGTGACAGAGCCGCTCTGTGAGTCCTTTGCAGGTTGTAGGCATCATAAAACTGTAAACCTCTGCGAACTATAAAATTCCTTTGGGATAATTAGGGTATAAAATTGTATGTGCCAACAATTTAGAGATATAATATCACCCTTTGAGTACTAGCAGACTGTAATCATCAACAGAAATGGGTTCATCATCAACTTACAAGCACCGTCAGCGTTTCTGGTACTGGTATCAGCCGAATCAGCTAAACATGTTATCTGTTTGAGCACACTGAGGAACAGTAGATGGGCGAATGTGGCCCTTGCTGCTGCTAACACAGTTTCTAGGGTAAGGCGTGAGAGGTGCAGATAAAATGCTGCCGCTCTGGGTTTTGGTTTGGAATCCAGTAACAGCGGCTATGCCAGGCATTTCAGCACGGACATCTGACTGGACCAGGTGTCACGCAGGTCGGCTCTCTGGCTTCTCACTGTTTTGAATGCCTCAAACTGTCAGCATGGTCATTAGTGTTTAAAGTATCAAATAGAAAGCATTACAATTTACAGACACATGGATACTAAAAATGTGTTTTGGTGATATGTTTAGCGTAATAAAGACAAACAGAATTTTGGGAAATGCGACTTTTTACTCGGCGTACATGTCTCCTCATTTATAAATATCAGAGTTTTATTGCTCCATCAGACAAATTCATCAGGTGATTCTATCATGGCAGATATCACATCCGGAAGACTTGAATCACAAGGTGTTTGAGGACTTTGACCACCAGAAATTGCTGTGTCTTGTGAGAGATGCTCCTAAACCACGAGTAAGACGGAAAGACAGAAATGCAGTGGTGACAACTTCTTCTTCTTTTCAGGTTTGGAGCTGAATATTTATTAGATTCCTTTTAGGTAAAAAAAACATTATTTGCATCATTATTATTGCAACGTTATTGTAACTGCTTTGTAGCTGACGGAGCGGCATCTCATATGTGAGTCAGACAGAATATATATATGTGAATATGAATTCTCTGTCCAGAATTAAGATGTCTTTCTTTCTTTCTTTCTTTCTTTCTTTCTTTCTTTCTTTCTTTCTTTCTTTCTTTCTTTCTTTCTTTCTTTCTTTCTTTCTTTCTTATTTGAAAGCATTAAATGTCCTTTCAGCTACAGCAGTCGTGTATGTATCACACTGTTATAAGACGGCATCTCGAGCCAGGACTCTGGGTTTGCTGCTTGAGTGCATAAATTCATAAACATTAACAGAGTCAGATGACTGTCAGTGTCAGTGTCTATTGTATAATAACTCAAAAGAAGTTAAACCTCAGTTATGTACTTGAATTTAAGAACGTCAGATTTAGAGTTTATTGATGAGTCAAAGGAAAACATTTGTGGATTTGATCTATTCTGATTTAAATGACAGCCTGGTTTTAAAAGCTTGCAGTTTGGTGAAAAAATGCTGTTGCTTTAAATTGCAGCTGTTGTTTAAAAGAATACAATGGAGGTTTTTGGCCTGAGGAGGACCCAGTCCTTGAAGAGTCTTTCTGGGATTCAGGAAAAGTCGTGGGTCAATGCAGTTTCCCCCAGCTGGAAGAGAAAGTCTGTCTCTCAACTGGTGCAACAGTAAGTTCTACTGAGGCACAAACTTGTGACATTTACAGTTTATTTACATTATTCACAGGTGCTGGCAACGTTTACTGACTGTGTGTTGTCTTCATTCACTCATCTGTTAATATATATTGGTATTAAATTTGTCCTAATAGTTACCAAAGCTGCTCTGACCTAAGGAGTCCTGATAGGGCAGAGCAGAATCTTGAGGTAGGTGTCTACACTTGTGTTTGTTAAATGGAAATACTGCTAAAACTGAAAAAACACATAGAAATCAACTACTCTCTTTAGCTGTCGGAAAGCTGGGTGGATGGCGGATGGAGAAGAGGGGACAGCAGAGAGAATGTGGTCCTCTGGGGCTCAGGAAGGCGCTCTAATCTTTCCAGGAGTCGCTCCATGGAGTTCCTTCCTCAGAAGGAGGCTACGGGCACCAAAGCTCTGTGCGCCCTGTTCGAGTCCAAAGCTACCTTGCAGCAGTGCTTCAGCAGCAGCCCTCGGCTGAACATGGCATCTGAAACTGACAGTGTCACAGTGAGAGACTACCCTCTGCAGGACAGGAGAAGTCATAACACTTTTCTTAAGGACACAGCTACACAGGTGTGTCAGCTGCCTACTTGAGCAGTTACAAGTAGTGTTACAATACAGTGCTGGTCATCCAAATGACACAAGCACGTGATGTGAGCCTGGTTCTGCTAAAGGTTTCTTCCTGTCAAAAGGGAGTTTTTTCTTCCCACTGTCGCCAAGTGCAATGTTGGGGTTTTCTCTGTATTATTGTAGGGTCTTAAAGCACCTTGAGGTGACTGTTGTTGAACCACTCACCTGATATGTTTGCACGTTACATCCAGAACCAGGCAGTTACTCTATTTGTGTAAAAAAAAAAAGAAGAAAAAAATCTGGACCAGTTAATAGTGAAGCTTACTAATCCTGCATATCTTTCCTGGCTATGTGTTACTGAAAGTGACATGAGTGTCATCCAACTCTTAACCCAGCTATCATGGATTTTAAGCTCCCTCTATTTTAAGTCTCGACAGCCCGACTCCACACCCACCAAAATGAGACACAAAACAATCATATATTGTCTGTTATAATTCTCTTGACAACATAATGTGCTGTTTATCCACAGAAAGCCACTCAAGTGGGTGGAAGAAGGGCTGTGAATGGGCTTCCAGAGTTTCATGACAGAGCACGCAGACACTTGCCTGGTGAGCAGTGGTACTTTATTTCATATTTACTACAATCACTGACATCTAGGACGGGATAAGGGATGGGTGCCAGAGTTTCCTTGAAGCTTTGAGGTTCATTGTCATGTAAGGTAAGACGAGTGGACACTTCTCAAGCTGTTTAATATATATGTTCCTGACAGTTCTTTGAAATATGAATGTAGGCACATTCATCTTTGCATGTCAAACAGCAGTTCTCAAGCGTATCAAATGAATCTATATTAGGTTGCCACAGAGCAAACAGTTGAGGATCAAGGCCTAGTATTTAAAGTGTCACCATGTAAATCCTGACCGAGTTTACGAAGCAGTGGCAACCCATGTGGTGTTTGGTGGTGGGAGGAAAAAGAAGCTAAATAAAGACAAGGATGTAGTGTTGTAAATGCATAACTATGTGCCCGGCACACATGCTTAAGATAGAACTGAGAGTGTCACCACCAGTTCTGACCGTGACGCAGGCCTTGGCCCTCTGAGCCATGCCTGTCCGCGACACATTACTGATATTGCTTCAGCAATACTGACGTCCTTACCCTGTGATGAACCTGGTATAAGTAAGGAACAACCAGTAACGTCAGCTGTGTTTGTTCCAAAATAAAGCTGAAATATTTGGTAGCATTTCATAATACAGCCCATGGCTTATGGTGTAATTTCCCAGCGTTTGCCATCTAATTCTGTTGAATTTAGGGTGAGATTTTGTCCTAGTGATACTTAAAGTGTAGGTAGTGTGGAAAAAGAGAGTGAGAATTAGCATTTTAAAAGACTGGACTGAGATCAGGGCAGTTTGGAGGCCAGATCAGGTCCTTTGGATCTGTGTCATGTTCCTTGAGCTGTTCATGAGTACGTTTGGCAGTGCGGGGGGTGTACATTGTTCTGTCCAATGGGACACTTGAAGGTGTATGTTGGCCGAAAACACTGTTTAGGCGTGTGAGTGACATCCTCATGAATGCCAGGACCCAAGTAGAACTTACCAAAATAGGACCATTTGTCTGTATTTTTTCTTTCAATATATTGGCTGCCGAGCACCCACTGACACACATACTATTGGTCCCACCCAGTTCCTGTTATAGCAGGTGACAATGTATCTGTGGAAATGAGGGGTGTCCCAATCCAACAGTGACTAACAGAGGTGATTGACTCAGGCGAGTAGCAGCAGCCAGCCCACCATCCCAAAATAGCCAAAGTCTTCCACTGGGGCAGCAGGCACTGATAAAAATCAGCTGTCACCAAGGCCACGGGACTAGAAAGAGTTCAGTCACAGAGAGCACTGAAAGAGGAGACAGGCTCTACTACACATCACACATCACAGGGGTCCTGGGAGTGAACACAGCAGAAATACACAGGGAAACAACGCTGGATGGTGTTTTAGTGAGTATTTATTAACTTTCTTCATATGAGGCCAAATAGCGTGACTGTGCCGCTACAGTAAAATGACAATAGCACTATATAATGACAGAGAAAGGTTTCTGGATGTACATGTTTTGTATTATTGGACTTTATTTTGTCAAATTTCATGCTGTTATTGTTGAGACAAGATGAAGTTGTACTGGAAAAACAGATTTTTTTCAACAGCAATCACAAAGTATAGAAAATTCTGAAATTTGCAATTTTGCTCCTGTCTTTTTATGACTGAGCTATAAAGGCAGTAATTTATGAATATAATGCTCTCTTCATTAAGTGTTAAGTGCTCATCAACCGTCAGACCCCATCGGTACGCTATCCCTCAAGTTTCAAACAAATGGTGGAAACTGGAAGTCATATGTTAGACAGTCAGTCTGTTTTCTTCTCTATATCTTCAGAAACATTGGAAAATGAAAATCAAATGAAGGGGAAAAAATGAACTCCTAGAAGTAGGCAAATGGTGTAACACACAGTGCTATATGGGGGATCTGGGACCCTATAATACAAGTTGTCCTTTGAGATGTTGGTTTTCATTACAGTCTATGAATGTAGCTACAATTGCCAACAGCTGATGGAGGTAAAAGGCTGCGGTGGTGGTGAAGAACAAATGCCAGCTGCATTTAACCATCATTTGTACAGCTGCCAGCATCCCAAAATTTCCTCCCATTAGCATGCTGCTAATAGCTCCTCTTCATTCCTGAAGAATTAACCCAGATCAAAGAGATGTTGGCAGACATTGCTCAGAAAACGCTGGAATCACTGAAAAAAGTTTCCAGTTGTGTCATTGACGCTTAATTTCATTTTCGAGTCTGTAAGAATGAGTCTTTTCATTATTTCCTCTGTCGAGACAAGTTTGCGTGGATGTTTGTGAACACACGTCGATGATGAGTGACAGTTGACCTCTCGGTTTACTGGGTGAGGACTTTCATGGGGGGGCATGGCAGTCGGTTGCATGATTCTATCTGCTCACCCATCTGTGAAAATGCTTTAAGTCCAGACTCGTGAGAGGCGCCGGCTCGCCAGGCCATCCTTTTGTCCCGTCAGGGCTTAGTGCGTGAAAAGGGAGGTGTGTTTAAATCTGGCCATTAGTTACAGCTGGATGGCCTGTGCAGCATACTGTGCTGTTGACCTCTGAACATATTTTTCATGATGCTGCTGTTGATTTTTTTTCTAAACTCATTATATTTACTTAACTCCAGCTGAGGAACAAATTTCAGCTAATACAGTCTGATTGCAGGGTGTTTTTTTGCATAAACAAAAATCAGTTTCAGAACATGCATGTGGTTTACTGGGCTGGGCTGTTGCATTCTTTTGGTCAGGTGTTGATGGTTTGATGGGAGAGAGCCCATTCAAACAATGTGCAAACAATCTGTGTCCCTCAAGCTGAGCTAGCAGTTGCTGTTTTTTCTTCTTCTTGGGTGTCATGGTCAATCCGTGGAATGCATTTTGATGATAGTCCTGTGCAGCAGGGAGGGCTGTGTGGGCCTATTTATCTCCCGGGGATCAAAGCTCGTAATCTGACTTGATTGTTACAATATCTCTCTTTACTAAAACATATGCTGTTTCATGGCATAATGCATGTGAACTAGAATCCATGAGGTAACAGGAAGCTACAACAGTGATAAGACAGATTCCACCATAACTAAAAATACACAGACACAGCGTTATCATTCAACTTGTTGCTGACACTGGACACGCACAGCTTTGCTTATTATAGGATACAGCAGTATCCTGTTGTTCCACTTTTATGCATGTGTGTGCCACTAGGTTTAAACTAGAAATCCCAAGACTCCAGATGTATTATTGGGCAAATCTAATAAAGAAGTCAACATTAATTTGATGTCGGATCTTGCTCTTGCAGAGGACAAATACAGCTCTTCACTGACTAAAGGGGGCACCCCAACGAGACAAACCAGAGACAGAACATCTACTTCCTTCTCAGTGAGAGACAGATCAACTCTCTATCTGTCAAGAACAGCAGCCACTGACACCACAGGAGGCCCAACACAACCAGTGAGTTCCTGAAATGCTTCTCATTCCTCCCCACAAAGTGAGGTCAAAGGCTTCAATGGGGAATTTTCTGTGTGCTAGGTCACAACAGGAGCGCCTCAACACTTTAGTGCATGTTTGAAATGTGTGGAACACAGTGCTAATGGATATATTTAACAAATAATAAAGTTCTGTGTGATTCAAACTGATTTAAATCACTCTTTGCTTTTGTTTAACAGGAATTCATTGGTACACTAGGAAAAGGGGCTAAAAACAGTAAGGTACAGTATACGTCATTTAGAAACCTTTACAGGAGAATGTGGTTTCTCAGTATTGTGTGCTGTGCATCTAAGTCTTTGCTTCCACCATCAAACACACAGTAAACCTACGAGCTCACATTAAATGCAACATTCAGGATGTTACTTTTTCACAAAGGGTCAGGTATGTTTAAATCATTTAGATAATTTATTTTTGTTTAAATTTTTCTGGTTTGTAATTAATTGTAGTTGTATGTAGTTATGTTGTTATGTTGAAAAACTGAGAATGACCACAAGGTGGTGCCTCCATCCTTTCTGTTGAGCTGAGCTCCAGCACAGAATTGAACACAGACACAGAGTATCTCCATCAGAATAGTAAAGATCAAGGGTAATCATTATACCAGTGAGTTGCTGGTTCTCCATGGACACCAACAACACAAAATCTAGCTTTTGTTATTTCTTCTGAATGTTTATTTTGGGATTGAAAGTGAATCATCTCTATTAGGTGTTTTTGTATTCTGTTTTTTGTTTTTGTTTTCCTGTTTCAACAAGCGTCTCTATCAGTGCATGTGGCATATCTCTGTGAACATATCAACAATAGCTGGTTGACTGATGGCAGCCTGTCCGAAACTTAACAATGCCCAACCCTAGTTTACACTGCAGCCAGAAAAAAAACTTAATGCAGATTTAAATTTAACAATGTTTTCGCTTGTTTTCACCTAAAAAAGTTAAAAACAACTAGCCACACTAGCAGCCTCGGCGGCGTGTATGTGTGATATTTGCCTACTAACAGCTGTGAAGTGTTTTTGGTAACCCTGGTGTGACTGAGGATGGTTTGGGGTGAAAATGCATAAAAGAAGCGAAGCGAGCATAAAAGAAGGTAAAGTATGGCTTTCCTTGCTATGCATGTCATTCTAATATTTGCATGTATTGTTTTAATGCTCTTTTTGTTGACTAGATCACTAGATCCTGATAATATTCTTGAATTTCTTTTATTGTTTCAAGATGGCTGACCAGACCAGAAAAGTCACAGTTTTACAATCATCTCCTGAAGAAGATGACTTGCCCTTCCCCCCACCTCCCCCAGTACCACCTAGACCTCTCAACTATGAAGGGCCTTCATCGTTAAGTAGCCTTCCCCTGCCTCCACCTAAAGAAACCTTCTCCACATTCTACCAGCAACGGCAGAAAAATGAGCTGAAGAGGCTCTTTAAACACATCCACCCAGACTTACGGGCAAGTCTTGATGACGCAGTGGATGATGAGATCATGAAGGCAGTGCAGTCAGAAAACACTCAGGCAGCAGATGCAGCTTATCAGGGGGAAGTGCAATCCATGAGGTGGATCTTTGAGAACTGGACTCTGGACAGTATTGGAGATCCTCATTCAACCAAAAAGCTGATGGATAATGAGGAGTTAAAAGGTGGAGATGTAAGAAGCACCTCCTCGATGTTTGAACATATTGACAGCACCCAACTACAGTCTGCCAAAAGGCAGATTTCTGTCAGGGGGGATGTGAGAACATCAATGTGGTTGTTTGAGACCCAGCCCTTGGATTCCTTAAATAGATCCGTAAATGAAGAGGGTGAACTAGTTGAGGCAGTGCTGAAAGAACCTGTACAGCCTGGGGATGTAAGAGGAACTCGTCTGCTTTTTGAGTCTAAAGCACTGAGTGACTTGGGGCGCTGCAACTCTATTGAAGATCATAGTTTCCTGAAACTGAGGTCTGAGCTTCAGGAGCTGAAAGGTGATGTCCAAAAGACCGTGAAACTGTTTCAGGCAGAACCTTGCTGTGCTATCAGAGACAACAGTGGCAATATGCATGAGATTAAATCCATCTGCAGGGAGGAGATCGACAGTAGTGGTGTTTGCACTGCCCGCTGGCTTTTTGAAACCCAGCCTTTGGACCTGATCAGTAAGGGAACTGATGTCGTGAAAATAATTCGGGGCATATCGCTAGAGGAGGGTCAACGAGGAGGTGTTGACCGGAAGAGGTGGATGTTTGAAACTGAGTCATTTGACAGAATACCTGAGGTTGTAGGAGAGAACACATTTGAAGGAGCCATAGCTGAGTGCACAGGAGAGGTTGATGTCATCAACAAGAAGAAATTCTTTGAAATGAAACCACTGGCAGCAGGAAACATGGCAGAAAAGTCTTTGGAAAAGGGAGACGTAATTGGGGGAGATGTCAAGACCTCCCTTTGGTTGTTTGAAACGCAGCCCATGGAGACGCTTAGTGATAGCTATGAAGTCGGGAGCCTGAAGAAAATTACCCTTTCAGCTGAAGAACAAGGTGAAGTAAAAGACAAAAAACAGTTATTTGAAAGCTGCAGCATTCAAAAGAGCACTTCATTAAAAGAACAAGTGATTGAAAAAGGTGACGTGAAGGGATTCAAAGAACTTTTTGAAAAAATTCCTTTGAGCAAAATTGCTCCTTCTGGGGAGGAGATTACCGAGAACGAAGAGTCTATTGCAGTTGGAAATGTAAAAGGTAACAGAGAAATATTTGAAACAACTCCATTATATGCAATAAAAGACAGCTCTGGAAACCTTCATAAGATTACAACAGTCAGCCGAGAGGAATTCACTCAAGGGAAAGTCAAAAAGTATAAGTGGATGTTTGAGACGAAGCCGTTAGACCAACTGGTAGAAGGAAAAGGAAATGTGGAAGTAATCAAAGGCATCACAAGACAGGAAGACAACACAGGTGATGTCAAAATGGCAAAGTGGCTTTTTGAAACACAGACAATTGATGGGATTCATTCAAAGTTCAATCAGACAAAGCAAAACTCTTCTTTAGAGGAGAAGCCGCATAAAGGTGATGTGAAGACCTGTAAATGGTTGTTTGAAACACAGCCAATGGACATTTTGTATGACAAATCCGAAAAAGCAAAGGATAAAGAAGCCATTGAAGATACCAATGTCAAGTCCATTACATGGCTTTTTGAGTCACAGCCTCTAGATAGCATCAAAGATGAGGAAAAGTACAATTTGAAGCTATGCAGCACCATACGAGATTCAGTCCAATCAGAGGTTGGTGTTCAAACTGTGAAACATCTTTTTGAAACAGAGGCCTTGGACAGAATAAGAAAGGATACAAATTCAGACCAAAATCTGAGATGTGTCAGCCAAGTGAACTTTCAGTCAGGGGAAGTTTCGCGAGTCAAAGAACTCTTTGAATCCCAGTCTCTTGACGAAATAGGATCAGAAATCATGGCAGCATCTGATCAGCAGAACCAAGGAGAACAAATCGAGAAAGGTTCTGTAAATAAATTTACTTGGATGTTTGAGAACTGCCCCATGAGCCAGATCAACAAGGACAACAATGACACAAATACGCCAAGGGTTGAGAGTATTGAAAGTGGTGATGTCCAGAAGAAAAAGTTTATATTTGAAACATCGTCACTGGATAAAATTCACGATGAACCCGTTGAGCAGAATTGGGTCAATGTGGAGCAGCCTGTGAGCAATATAGACGTGAAGTCAAGCACTATGATGTTTGAGTCCCTGCCACTGTATGCCATCAGAGACAAAGAGGGCCAGTTTCATGAAGTTACAACTCTAAAAAAGGAAGAGGTAATGAGTGGTGACGTAAGAGGAGCAAGGTGGATGTTTGAGACAAAACCACTCGATGCCATCAAGGCGGAGAATGAAGTTTACGTCATACGAGCTGTCACCCAGGAGGACGTCAAGAAAGGAGACGTTAAATCAGCCAGGTGGAAATTTGAGACACAACCTCTTGACTCCCTTACGAGTCGAGATGAGCTCTCAGTCAGGGTGACTGAAGACTTTGGAAGCAGTAATGTGCAGCTAAATAAACAATTATTTGAATCTGAGCAGCAGTGCAAGAAGTTTGTGAGAATGGTTAGTGTCACTGATGTGCAGCGTGGCGATGTCAGGACCTCCACCTGGCTCTTTGAGAATCAAACAATTGACAGCCTGAAAGGGGAGCCTCAGGAGCAGGGTCCAGTAAAAGCAGTCCACAGGGAAGATAGCCAGAAGGGAGATGTGAAACGCTGCACCTGGCTCTTTGAATCGCAGCCCCTGGACAAAATTAAGGAGCCAGAAGAAACCACAGTGCAAAGTGCTAAAGATATCCCAAAAGCTGATGTGAAGTGCACCACCTGGCTCTTTGAGACCACTCCACTAGACAAAATCACCGCCAACAGTGTGGCTGATACCCTTTCGTATTTGAATGAAAATGCTTTTGTTCACTCAAGCGGCATCATAATAGAGGCAGATGGCAGCAGAAATGTTAACATGGCAAAATACATGTTTGAAAACAAAGAAGGGGTGCAGATTGAGAAAGAGGATGTTGTTGAGGGTAACATCAGGAACATCATGCTACAGCTCTTGGTCAGACCGACTCTCAAACCACAAGTAACTCTTCTGAGAGAAACTGAAAAAGGTAAAGTTAACATAACAGTAGTCGAGCTTCCAGTCTCCCAGGCGACCGGCACAGTCAACATCGAACACGATCAAAGACTACAAAACATTGCCCAGGTAATTGATGACTTGCTCATTCCACAAAATAATTTGAAAAAGGGAATAATATTGCAAGAGACTGCAGCGGGACAAGCAGAGATGTCCGTTTATTCACTCATCTGCAATTACGAAATCAAAACCGAGAGTCTGGTTACAGAGAGGGGAGATGTCCAGTCTACAATTGGAAATTTGTTAGCTACTGCCAGTTGTCAGAGGATAGCAGCGTCGTGCAGAGTGGACGAAACAGAGAAGGGAAATGTGAATTTGTACAAAAGCTGGATTGAAAAGGGAGATCTGCATTATCTCAAAAGTCTTCACACCGAGGCGTCTGAAGACGAAGCTGATCAGAGCCTTCTGACTAAGGAACAGATTGAAACAGTTCAGGGGGGTGTGAGGGAAGCAAAGAGAAGCCTCTATCAGCAAAAAGAACAGGCAGAACGAACAATTTCTGATGTTTTACCAGGGGACGTAAAGAACACCAAAAAGGTTTTTTCATCAGAGTGCTCTATCAGTGTTGACAGCTGTGTACCAAAGGAGGAAATTGTCCCTGGAGATGTCAAGGCAACAATGCAATCATTAGAACGTGCAAAGCAACAGAGTATGTGTGTGGAGCGGGAGGTCATTACACCTGGAACTATTTATGACATGGACCTGTCAGCTCAAGGTCCTGAAAGCGAAGGAAACCAAGCACAAAAAGAAGTCATTATATCTGGAGACGTAAAAGCAGCTAAAAGGTCTCTTGAAATGGCAAAGCAGCAAAGCATGCAAGTAGAGCGGGAAGTCATCATTCCTGGAAAAATATACAACCTGAATATGTCCGCACAAGAGGAAAGCTCATCAACAGTGGCACAATCAACATGTTCGTCCTCCTCAAGATGCCAGCAAATCAGGACTTCTCCGAAGGTCAGTGATACAGAGAAAGCTCAAGAAAGCCATATCTCCTTTGAGGCTTGTCAACAGATTGCAGCTATAGACAGTAATAGTGCCCCAGAATCACTGCCACCTTTTGTAAGTTGCGAGTTTAATAGTCAGACAACTGAAGATGAGACAGAACAAGTTATCAGAGGAGATGTGAAAGCAGCTATTAGAGCTCTGCAGAGTGCAGCGACAGAGCAGAAGCTCCTAGATAAGGAAAATATTATAAGCGGTAATGTGCAATTGGCTCTCAAATCTCTTGAGAAGTCTAGCGTAAATGTATCCAAAGGAGACTATAAAGCTGCCATGATATACAGAAATTCAGGCAGGGCTTGTTCAGAGAGGAGCAAGACTGTTCACAAGCAGTGTGTTGTGGTGCCTGTGCCTCCATCTGACGCAAAATTATCTCCTTCAATTTCAGTAACCTGTGAAGGACAACCATCTATTACAACACAGAATTCAGCTCCCAACCCCGTAGCAAATGGAACCTCTAAATCACCCCGCTCTGAAAGGCCAAGTCCACCTCCACTGCCTCAAAAGACTGAGAAACCACAGGAGCAGAAGCCAGCTTTACCACCAAAGCCACAATGGATAAAATCTGTAGTTGTGGAAGAACCAAATACATCACCTAACAAAGTTTCCTGCCCTGTTAAAGAAAATACAAAAAGTGTAGTAATTCGTCCAAAACAAAGCCAGTCGTTTTGCTCTGTGGGTAGCCAAGAAACTACAACGCATGGAAAACTCAGTAAACAATGCTCACATGAAACATACCAACAACAAAAATGTGTTAGTGAAGAAATGCAAGTCGCAAATCAAGCAAATGTATATCTGCCAATCAAGCCAAAGGCTCAGGAAAGCAGCAAGAAACAGGAAACAGCACAACTCACAGAGAGGAAATCAGACTGCAAAATGACCGTGTCAAACAGCAGTGAAGTGAAAACAGAGAAAAATGTGAAACAGAAAATCAATGCAGCTGAGGAGATACAGATACGTATGAGGGGTTATGAAGATGGTGAGCATGAAATCAACACGAGCTCGAAGGCAGCACTAAATAACTTTGAAGGAAAGGACAGAGACACTTCCAAGAAGGCAGCAATCACAGATGATAACGGTAGAGGTCATAAAAAGACAGAAAAGACTTCTGTTCAAGAATACAAATCAAATCTCAAACCTCAAGAAAAACAGCACGAGCCCGGACTGCAGACATCAGTCACTATGGGCCATGTGCAGGAAAACAACCCGGACCAAAAGCAATCAACTTTTGAGGATAAAGTTGTTTTAAGAGAGAAGAAGGCAAGAGAGACAGAGGATGAAAGACGACAAAGGCTCTCTGTACACATGGAAGACATCGTAAAAGGAAATGTAAAGGCAGCCATGGAAATCTTTGAAAACTTTAGGAAAAGAGAGGAACTCAAGGGGATCCTGTCTCAAGTGCAAGAAATAGAGGGAGAGGCCAGCAGTGTAGATGACACTTCACTGAATACATTATACCAGAATGTCCCTACTTGGATGGGTACATCAAGGAGAAACGCTAAGCAAAGTAAAATGGAGGGAAAGAAAGTTGAAGCAGAAACCCAGGATGATGATCTTGAAAGCATCTCCTCAGTTGAGACGGCATTTGAAGATCTGGAAAAAGCAAGCAAGGAAATAATGAACCTGAAGGAACAGACTTTAGCAAAGCTGCTTGAAATCGAAGAGACGATTAAAAAGGCTCTGTACTCCGTGTCTAATCTGAAATCTGAGGCCGACATTGCAGGGTTGTCGGGGCTGTTCGATGAGTCTTTGAAATCTGAGCAAAACTTTCAACCAGCCAACAACATCAGGAAGATAAGCATTGTTTCAAGCAAGGCCAAATCAGGTCAGACAAAAGAGACAAGCGATGTAAATCTCCAGACAGATTTGGATTCAAGTCTTTCCAAAGAGGAAGTGTCGAGAAAAGGGCACAATAAGCCCCTTATTAGACAGTCTTCCTCTCAGTCTTCACCATCATTCATCTCCATTCACTCAGCTGCCAGAAAACCAAGTGATCAACCAAAGCCAACCATGTCAACATTTAAACCAAAAACTAATAGCTGCTCTGACAGTTGTCAAAATGTGAACAGCGATCTGGAGTCCGCAGCTGCCGAGTCTTCAAAAAATGGCCCACAGCGCAAGGTCAGTGTTCTTGAAGTGCAAACCGCAGAGCAACCCGCAGGAATAATTGGCACGAAGACTGTCAGTGAAACTTATGAAGAGAGCGACGGCTTTGGCAATGTATTTGTTTCCTCCAGGACCTCAACATTCGTCACCAAACAGTCTGACAGTAAAACATCGGCTCTGTTTGAAATTAGTCCAACCAGATACGAAGTCATGACATCCCCACTGATGCGAAGGTCCGGGCGCTTTTTTGAAGATAAAGTGTCGAGGAGCACCAAGGACGACGGGACGGTATTTGTAACATTCGGCCCACCAAAGGAAACGCACTGAACGAGCCACTTATTAGTGCGTTCCACGGTCCTTTAACTTTAGGAAAGCAGTTTTATTTACGTGTGTTTTCATCCCATTTTTGTTTTATTAGTGAAACTGTTTTGTTAGTCTTTAAACTGAACTCATGAAATCATGAAAATGTTACCTTTAAAAACTTTTTGTCTTATAGATTTTATACTGTAACCACATGATAAAGTGTTAAGATCTTTTAACAAGGCTAAACACAAAGTTAGCACTGTTTATTCTTCTGTTTTAAACAACTGTCAAATAAATGACAGGTTAGAAGATGTGACTGTTATCGGTGATTTTTTTCTTTATTCTCATTCCTTGAATTATAAATATAACAAATGGCCACAGAGCAGCCATATCATTATCACCAACCACTGATGCTACTTTTCAGCATACTATAAGTAGATTAGCTCACACACAGACAGTGTTGGTCAAGTTACTTGAAAAAAGTAATCAGTAACTAATTACTGATTACTTCCCAAAAAAGTAATCCTGTTACTTTACTGATTACTTATTTTCAAAAGTAATTAATTACTTAGTTACTTAGTTACTTTTTAAAAACACGATTTACAACCTGAAGAGGTGATAAAGCGATAGATCTTTCAGCCCAATTCTACTTTTTCTGCATAATCCATCATACACAATGTAATCAAATGGAAAAATCTATTTTTTTAACTTGTTTTATCAGTTTTAATCTTTTAACTTTATGCATCAAGCAAAAATTTAATTATATGCAACATTCTCTGAGTTGAATAAATTAGTTTAACATTTAAACCTATTTTCTGCACATTCCAGCACATAAAATAAAATATTTTTTGTGTTTACACACACACTCTTTCAAATAGATGCAAGTCAAACACAGCAGAAAATAAATAAAGTCAAAGACTCAGCGGTCCTGTTGCTCTATTTTCACCTATTAAAAAGCACTGCGGTAGGCGGAGGTTTACCCTGGTGCAGGTGTGCCGCGGTCAGTTGAAGAATCCGCGAGTTTCTCTGTGAATTCCCCATTACCTCGTTGCGCACTCGGTGCTTGCTTGGAAGTTTAGGGGTTTTTTTCGCTGTAAAAAGAAATTTTTTTTCCCACGCACAACGGATGCTAATGTTTTTGTCACTTTTTATGGAATCAAACTCAAAGTAAGGTCAGTACTTCCACGCTTTAAACGCTGCACGCTCATACTCTCTCCCACAATCGATATGTGATCCATTGTTGATCTGCACACAGCTGTTGTCACTAACGGCGCACTCGCTTACGTCACTGTCGTGAGACATTCTCGCAAAAAATCACGGTTTTAGTAACGCAGTAACGCAGTGTTCCTACGGGAAAGTAACGGTAATCTAATTACCGTTTTTGCAATAGTAATCCCTTATTTTACTCGTTACTCGAAAAAAGTAATCAGATTACAGTAACACGTTACAAGTAACGCGTTACTGCCCATCTCTGCACACAGAATTTATAACTCAATTCCGTGTATATCAACTTTGCTTGGCCCGAAATCAAAGTGATGATAATAAAATGTAGAATCTCTAAAGTTAAATGTCCCTGCTGATTTGAGATCTTGTCTTGGTGGAGATGCCAGGCAAAATGCAATTCAGTAATGACAATTTTTTTTTAAAGGGGTAAAAAGAAAATCAAGCAAAAACTTAAATGAATCTAAAATCTTTGTGTGGCTGAGACATGGCTTGATTATTCTACAACTCTTAATTTGTTGTTTAAATATTTTGCCCAGCAAAATTGTCACTTAACTGTATATAAACAGAGATGAAATGGCGCAGCCACTACGCCTTGCTGCCATTTTTTTTTTACGGCAATGGAAAATGTCCCCGTGGCTCCCAAAGCCCATTAACTTGTAAACCACAAATATAAAATTGACTCCTTTTTAAAAATCCAGTGGTATTTAGTTTGAATGAATATCCAATCTCTAGGCTAATATATGAAACAGTAGTACATTGGTGCACAACCAATAATTCACACAATACTCCTAAGTTACTTAAGTAAATTCTACAAAGAGTATTTCTTCACCAATTTACTTCATAAATTGCCTTTTAAAGGAAACCTGGAGTCAGATGTTGCACAGTTGTAATGGATCTATGATGAGAAATCACACCACCGCTATGCTTTTTAAAATGTCAGTTTCTGTTTTGGTCACGTTTTCTCTACTTTTGCTCCAGACCTTCATTTCAAAATACCTCTCTTTTCTTCTCCTGTTGTTAGTTGGTTTGAAAATACAGGATTTTGCAAACATCAAACACATCTGAAAGCCTCACTGTTGCTGTTTTTACCTAAAGTTGAATACCTCATAAATGTGACATTATCTAGTTATGTAATTGCTAAATACCAGGAATCAAACTTGTCAGTGGTCATGCGACATTAGGAGTACACCTTAAAACATCTTAGATGTGAGTTGTAAGTAATTCCTGTGCGTTTCTTCTAACTTATTATTTTAAAAAAGTACACATAATTGTAGATCATAGATCTCTCCACTACAGGTGGCTGCATTTGTAAAACATTACAGAAAAGATCCTGTCATGTCAAACCTACAAGACAAATTAACCTTAAACTAAGTTTGTTTTCATCATCGTAGTTCCAGCCGCCTGCCAAGGAAATGTGTTCTGCCTGTTTGACAACAGTCTACCCAATGGAGAAAATGGTGGCTAATAAACTTATTCTGCACTACAACTGTTTCTGCTGTAAACACTGTAAGAAGAAGCTCAGGTGAGATGTTAGAACAAAATTATAGAAATTGGAATATTTATCATATAGAACCCAATCAAAACTACCAAGATGAAAAGATTTAGTATTTGCATTAATAAATGAAACACATACATGAAATAAATCCTCAATATCAATGAATAAATCATTCACACAAGCTGATCTAGCACAACAAATCAATAATGTGAGAGAAACAAAATTAGATCTGATTTTATATTTGGGCTTTTTCATTTCATTGCAGCACACACAACTATTCTTCTCTTTATGGTGAATTCTACTGCATTTCTCACTACAATCAGCTTTTTAAAAGAAAAGGAAATTATGACGAGGGCTTCGGTCACAAGCAACACAAAGACCGCTGGCTTGATAAAAATAAAGGGACAGATGAGCCAGATGCTAAGCCCACTCCCAAAATGTCAAAGAACAAGTTAAACATTTCTAATGGCTGCAGAGAGGCTTCTGCTGAAGCGTTTGCCACAAAGTCATCCCTGAGAGCGTCGGGAGATAAAAGTGTTGCTGATGTTAAAGGTAAACTAAAAATGAGCTGGCCACCAGAGAAGAAGAATTCTCCGCAGCGAACATATGAACCAGCTCTGAAAAATAAAATCTCTGACATCAGCAGAGCAGGTGCAGTTAGCATGAGCTTTTCAGAGCATTGGAAAAGCGACAGGCTCAGTAACAGAGAAGGAATGAGAGATAAGAGGGGGAAGGAACAGTCTACAACAGCAAGCTTTATCTCAGCTGAGAAGTTTCCCTCAGAGAAAACAAAACCAGTCAGTCCTGTCCAAACTAACCACTCAGAAGCGAGAATTTCTGTCACGAATCAAAAAAAAGTTCACACAAATGTGGCCCCCACCTCAAAAGCAAACCACAGCCCAGTGGCCAACAGGCTGGACACTTCTCCAAATAAAGCTCGGAAATCCGTAAGGTTTGCCCCAAATATTGATGTCGCTCGATACGACCGATCCTCTCAGCTGAGCTCAGGTACAGCAAATGAAATGGTCGCAGATCAGTCTGAACAAATAAATAAAACCAATGATGGAACAGACGTGAGGGAAAACACTATACTCGACGATTTGGCATCTGAATCCAGCGAAGAAAATAGAAAGAGTGAGATGTACCTTGAAATCCCTGAATATAAGCACCGTGAAGAAACAGCCAATATGTCAAACCAAGAGCATGATGCGAACGTAGGGAACAGTTTCAAAACTCCGCAGAATGATATTGCAACTCTGAACGGGGATGTGCACAAGGTTAATGACTCACTCATCACCCAAAGTCTTACTGAAGCTTTCACTTCAACTCAAGACATCATGACACAAAAAGAGCCTTCTGAGAAACTGGATGTCAGTCCAGGGAACCCTGTTAGCGAGCATGAATCAGAAAATGCTGACACAGCACAAAGTCCTGCAGGACCCGTGAATGGAGAGGAAGTCAGTCTTGAAAAAAGTAAAAATCAGCCTGAAAAGGTTCATGAAGAAGGTGGTGATCAGAAGAAGCCTGTTGGGAGAACAAATTCTCTGAAAGGCTCTGACAAACAGGCTGAAAAGGCCAAAGGCAAACTGGGATCCTGGTCCAAAGGAAAGAGCCCCTTGTCAAAACTCTTCACATCGAGTGGAAATGACAAAACAAACAAAGCAGAACAAAAGGATGCCAGGAAAGCAGATGTCAAACCTAGCAGTGGACTCTTAGGAAGGCTACTTCAGTCATCCGCAGAGAAGGCTGAGGACATCACAAAATCAGCTGCTCAGGACAAGCGAAGGGATGAAACTCATGTTGATGACAAAAAAACAGAGAATGAAAAAGGCTGTGTTACAAAAGATGCACAAAAAAAAGAAGACCCATCTAAAGTCCCTCCTCAAGAACAAGCGCTTCAGAGCGACATCACGGACAAGTTACAGTCCGCCGAGCCTGATGCACTTAATAATGACTGTAGATCTTCAGAACCTTCCAGCCTGTCCATGATAAGTAGTGAGACAGGTGATGATTTAACATCCATAGCGCAAACGGATGCAATTCTAACTGGTGATCAAGAATCTCATTCACAGAGCAGTGAGGCTACAAACCTGCCCGTCTCTGATCTGGAAATAGAGTCTAAAGATCTTGACCCTGCAGCACAATTACTGAGCACACCGCATGGGCAATCAAACAGTGAGTTAATACCTGAGAAAGATGATGATGCATTAAATGACGTTTTTGGAGATAGTGTCACGTCACCCTTTGCTGACCCACTGGCCACAGAGATAAAAACAGATGAATCTGCCCAACAGCTGAACAAACATGACCCACCGGTTGAAGGAGGAGGGAGCTTGAGCAGTGGAATGCTTTTTGATCTCATCCACAACAGTGCACAAGATTCCTCTGATTTCTTTGGTCTGCCTGACACCCTCAGCACATTTTCAACTTCTATGACTGACACAGCTTTGCTTGAACCTGCTTCTACTCAAAGCTCCAGCCTGGTTGACTCTGGACCAATATCATCTGAAAATGAAGCAATCATTGGCATGTCAGATCAACTCACCATCCCTGACTCAACACCTATAAGCCAAGATGTTAGTCAACCCTTGGATCCTTTTGGCAGTGAGAAGCAGACAAGTGAACAGGACTTTGACATATTCAGCTCTAATGATGAACTCTTCAATCAGCCTCCTCCGGTTAATGTGCTCGATCATGGAGGAACTGCTTTCCCTGATGACATCTTTGGAAGCAGCAATGTCTCAAACAGTGCAGATGGGTTCACAGGTCTACCAAGCGGTCAGGCTGCTCAGAGTTCACTGAATGATTTGCTCGGCTCTGAAGCATCCTCTGTTGTTGCACCTTCAGCTCAGATGGACCTTTTTGCTGATGATATTTTTGGATCAGAAGCACAACTACTGCCAGTGTCTGAGCCAGGTGGTGCAAATGTATTAGCTGATAGCTTGTTAGCATCTGAAGAAAACAATACTGAGCAAAAATCAGAGAACAGTAGCTGGATGGATGATTTGTTGGGTTAAAGAGATGAGTGTTATAGTAACTCCAGCTCAGCCTACCTTTGCATATGTGGACGTCTTACTTTGTCTCTCTTCAGCATTGGGTGCCACCCTTTTATGAAGCTGGTTGTACTTGGCATTCAGGCCAGAACAATTAAGCTCAGGGAGAGGAGGGTGTTCAGATCGGTTAACCTGTTTCAACTTATTCTTTTGTTGAGTGATTTTAATTTGCTCTTACGACTGCCACCGCTACTACTAATAGAAATAAAATAAACACTTTTTCACACACATGTATATAATTAAGCACTTGACGTTTAAAAAAAAAAAAGTATAACTGATTATGTTTAAATTCAAATTACATTTTATTCAGAAAACTGCATCAAATATTGTAAAAGTTAAAACTTTATGGTAAATAGCACATCTTCACATTACATCTGCAAAATGCATGCATTTTATTACATTTTACAAGGGCAAAAACTACATTCAATGAATAAATTGATGTGCAGTGACATGTTTTATTAATAAATACTGTATGAAAAGTAAAATATAACATTTAAAGAAGATTGTAGATGAGATTTTCTGTTGTCTGTAGTGAGTGTTGTCAATATGCTAATGTGAAAATTTAATTATGAATTATTAAAATTAATAAAACAACCTTTTTAATGTTTTCTCAGGATGACACTTAAATACAATGTGATTCATTAATAAATTTAAATAACCTAAAAATGTTTTCTTGAGCTGTGTCTTGGGTCTCTTTCTGCTTTATGTGTTCTACACTCACAACCACTTCACTGGGTACACCTGTTGAGCTCCTCATTATCTGATAAGCCAATCACATGACAAAAACTCAATGCATTTAGTCACATAGGCTGAGACTTCCTGCTGAAGTTCAAACTGAGAATCAGGATGGGAAACCTTTGAGTGATTTTACACACAACACGGTTGTTGGCGCCAGACAGTTTTCTGTGTATTTCAAACTGCTACAAAATCATCTCATGGATTTACAGAAAACGGTCTGACAGAGAGAGTTTTCATTTCTGCTGTGACTGGGTCAGAGCTTGGTGTAAACAGCATGAAAGCATGGATCCATCCTGCCTTCCAGCAACAGTTCAAGCTGCTGGTGTTAAAATCGCGCCCCTTAGTAACACCTGAGCATTGTTGAAATCCCGCAGCCTAACTGTGTATGGAACATTGTCCATGCCCATCCCTTTATGATTGCAATATGGTAATAAAGGGCGTCAAGGGTGGAGAGCTATAAATACAGCTCTTGCCCTTCATGCTTGACGGTGGGAACAAACACTCCGATGGTGCTTGGAATTCTATATCATCGATTAAAAAACTAAGATAGTCAAATTGATGATTTGAGAAAGTGTCCTTGTTCAAATGACACATTGTTCTGAACCTAAAGTTCTATGCAAATGTAACATTTCTGTAAAAACTGGCACCTCCATAGAGCGGCTCTTAAAATAATTTATCTGAAAATCAAATCTTTTGGAAAGCTACGAGAACGTGTGTCTTTTCCCGATACCAACTTCTGCATAGTTCTCCTTGCTTTCATATTTTCAAATATTTGCAATTACCCAACCAGGTACTCCGTTTTCCCTATTTGAAGATTTTGATTTTACAGATTTTTACTTTGGATGAAATAATGCACTCACTGAAATATATTGTGACTCCATAACAGGCATCTGTTTCACGCATTCTGTTCAATGACTAACCATTAATGAATGAAACTTTATAAGTTATAAAACATGAATCTTTAGCTAAAATGGCAGTTTTTGTAATGAATCCCTTAATGCTGACAGTTTTATGTCTGACCAGTACAGCTCTGTTCCTAAACAGACTGCTGAGGATCAGCTTTGCAGAGTGTAGCTGCTCCCCTACTCACTTGAACACTGCGGTCCTGTTGTGAGCTGATTTTTTTCTTGATCCTAACAAAACAAAGAATTTCCAGAGTAGCAGACATGAAGCAACGTGAAACTTTATTGAAAACTCTTTGTTCTTGTTTGCTTTTTGATACAGAGAAAAAATAAAGAGAAGGGGTGATAGGAGTCTTGAAGACAATCAGTCAGTTGCTGGGAGACTGACGCAGAAACAGAAACAGCACAGAGCTTTGAAGAGTTTTTGGAGGAAACCTTTTTCTTTCTTCTTGGTTTTAAGGTCTTCACAGCTCTCTGCAGTATTGGTAACTGGTATAAGTGGTTCACACATGGATGATGTTTCCTCACTGGCTTGAACCTCAGACAAAAATGGAGATTCAGCAGAGGCTGATAGAGAACCTGGTGTTACCATGTCATCGTTAATTTCTGGACTTGTTGATTCTTCCTCAGTTCCAGTAATGTTTAAGTCGTACTGATCTCTTGTTGGGCATTGAGCAGCTTGTGTGTGATGAACTGGCTCGTTGGGGATCTGGGGCTGCAAGATCTTACAAATGTGGTTTGTTGCTACACCAGCGATTGTAGTGAGCAGGGTAGTGTGGTTTGCAGTGTTGCTGAGCACAGTGTCGTCTGGGTGTTTCTCTCTAATTTCTGCCAAGATGGTTTGGACCATGTCATCTTGCATGGAGCGAGAGAAGATGGCCTTGCTTTCCTTTGCTCTGGGAGTGTTGGAGAGTTGATCCAGAGTGGCTTTCGTAACACAGGTGGAGAGCTCGCTCAGACTCTGAGATGCCAGGTTCAAAAGGGGGTAAGGAGGATGCTCCCAGAAGCCTTGCAGGACTCTGGGAACTACCTCTATCCCTACTTCTTGGGGGCTTAGCAGTCTGGAGGTCTGTGTTTCCTGCAGCTTCTCTTTAAGGATCTCAAGGTATTTGTTGAACATGCTGAGGAGTTTAGGCGTTCTGTAGATTAAAGTTATAAGTATTCAGATATATTGAGACACTGTAGCTGAATTTTACATAACTGTATGTCAAATGGGACTCACTGAAATTTGGGAGGTATGGCCTCTGGATATTTGAGGAGCAGCCGAGCCTGTAGCTCAATGTCCTTCATTTTATTAATAATGTTCACTGCCCACCTGAAACAAATCAATCAAAACAAAACAAAGAAGAAAAACACATATAAGTGCATTTCTGTTGTTAATGAAATTCTTTTTAAAATCTACAAATTACTATAAGGTCCATCAGTTTTCTGTCTTACCAGTTTCAGAAGACCTTTGGTTTCATTTTCTTCCAATTTCTCAATGTCAAACTCCCAAAGTCTTAAAATGGACACAAAGCAGGTTTTATCTCAGCATCATCACAAACAGACGTTCATCTATGGTCTGTTGGTGTCACAGTAACTCACCGCTCTCTCAGTGTTTTTTTGTTCTCCTCCATTAAAAGGTTGATCATATCTTCAGCAGTTATATGAGGTGGTATCTGATTTCCTGCTGAGTCCAAGGAATGCCATCATCACTGCAATCTAAAAATAAGAGACATTTAATCATGAGCACTAAAAAAAAATCAAATTTACCAGATATTTACGCCAGTTGGTTCTTACCTGAGTCTTGTAGCTTTGAGGGTGCCAGCAGGTCTTTAAAGCTGTGTTGTACTCAGGTGTGTCAAACAACACCTGTCAAAGAAACAAGAAGTTACTCATTATTAGTTAACTTGATTCATTGTATTTTTTAAAAATACACCAAATTCTTCATACTGTTCAAATGCAGTAAAATTAAAGACTCTCACATACCCCAGTAGGTTTGTAGACTCCAATACTTTCCTCCATTAAAATGTTGTTGCTGAGTATAGCAAAAATGGTCAAATACAATGTGAGCACTTAGCTAAAAGGTCAAGATGAAAATGGTTGTTTCTCCTGCACAAATGAAGTTTGTTATGATTGAAGCAGAATTCTAGAACTGTCTTACACATCGCAGCAGGTCACTATGGTGACACCATGCAACTTTCATGTTGTTAAGTACTATCATATTTGTGTTTATTTTACTACACTTTGTTTTCTGAATAAATAAAGTGTAGGCTATAGCTATCCTTAAGTTGCTGCAGTGAAAAGATGCATGCAAGTCGTCATTCAGAAAAAAGGGAAGGAAAAACAACCTGAACCATCATGTTAATTCATATTATTTGCCTGCTTATCTCCATTTTCTCATTGTAGATGTCAACTTATAACGTTTCTTTAAAGCACTGGGTTATGAGTTGTGGAGAGGAATGATGCATGCATTTGAAGCGTGACAGCACCGGCCCTTAAACAGCCAAGAGGGAGAGATCTTTGTGTGTTCTGTAGTGGGATTGTCACGATACTAAAATATGAATTACAGGTAAATTATCCATTTTGATACCACTGGAAACGTTTTACCCATCCCAAAGAACAAAAGTTATGGTGAAGAAGTCATATTAAAACAGTTGTTAATTTTCAACGAATGTTCGAAATTTATAAATAAGATTTAAGATCAGTTAAGTTTAGATGGTCTGATGCATTCTCAATCATCCAGGTAAGTAATCTCCAAAAGTTATTCTGTTCATCTGGACGTAGCGTTTGTGAGAGAACTTTAGATGGTTTATACATTTTACATATTATTTAGACAATTCATTAATGACCATTAGTTATAGTGATATAAGATCACTATAGATAATTTTATAATTACTGTGAAAGGAGAAAAGTTAAAGTCATTTTCCACATTCCACATTGCCTGCAGCCTGTTTTTATCCACGACTCAACGGCTCCGCCTCAGTCTCCAGCTCTTCTAATTCTCTAGCAGGTTGATTCTGCTCTGGATTCCTTTTATTGTTGTATTAGTCTTCACATCTGCTTCAGTTTCCGCGGCTGCTCTGCACACACAACCTGCTCGTTCTTCACCGTATTAATCTCTCTGCGGCATCTCAATATTCACAAGCATCCCGAGTCGGCACTGCTATGTTAGTGACAGTGATATGTGCCTATTGGTTAATTCCTAATAGTTAAAGGTCTACTATTAGCGGTGCGACAGCCAGATTAACATTCTTGATATTGTTTAATGTTGAATGTTGTTGAGACGGGAGCTTACTGACACCTGAAATCTATAAAGTGCTGTTAGTGTTATTGTCACAGTCCTGGTCAGTTGACCAGTGTTTGAGTTTTGGGGCTTTCCGTTTTTCTTATGTATTATGAGATATTTGGATGTGTAATGTTGTATTATTTCTTCTACTATCCCATTTATGTTTAGTCTGTTTCTCTCTCGCAATTGCTCTAGAGCTCAGCTCTCCCTAGTGTCGATCTCGTGTTGTTGCCTTTTGTCTGTCAGTTTGTGTATCACATCCTGGTTTCATATTCTGTCACTCCTGTTTTATGTGACAGTCCCCATCTCGTGTGCTTATGATCTGTTTTACTTCCATGTCTCATTAAATAAACATCTTCCCTATCACTTTTTGTGTATTATTGTTTTTTCTCCATGTTCACTGTCAGGATGTTGAGTCACATCCTCCTAGATGTCTCTCGGTCCAGTGTTCCTACCTTGTTGTTCACGTTACTTTTCAGTAGATGATAGTTTTCAATTTCCTTTCTTGTGTGTTATGTAAGGCTGAGGACATCACAAAATCAGCTGCTCAGGACAAGCGAAGGGATGAAACTCATGTTGATGACAAAAAAACAGAGAATGAAAAGGCTCTGTTACAAAGATGCACAAAAAAAGAAACCATCTAAGTCTCTCAAGAACAAGCGTTCAGAGCACATCACGGACAAGTTACAGTCCGCGAGCCTGATGCACTTAATATGACTGTAGATCTTCAGAACCTTCCAGCCTGTCCATGATAAGTAGTGAGACAGGTGATGATTTAACATCCATAGCGCAAACGGATGCAATTCTAACTGGTGATCAAGATCTCATTCACAGAGCAGTGAGGCTACAACCTGCCCGTCTCTGATCTGGAAATAGGTCAAAGATCTTGACCCTGCAGCACAATTATGAGCAACCGCATGGCAATCAAACAGTGAGTTAATACCTGAGAAAGGTGATGATGCATTAAATGACGTTTTTGGAGTGTGTCACGTCACCCTTGCTGACCACTGCACAGAGATAAAAAAGATGAATCTGCCCACAGCTGACAAACATGACCACCGTTGAGGAGGAGGAGCTTGAGCATGGAATGCTTTTTGATCTCATCCACAACAGTGACAATTCCTCTGATTTCTTTGGTCTGCCTGACACCCCAGCACATTTTCAATTCTAGACTGACACAGCTTTGCTTGAACTGCTTCTACTCAAAGCTCCAGCTGGTTGACTCTGGACCAATATCATCTGAAATGAAGCAATCATTGGCATGTCAGATCACTCACCATCCCTGACTCAACACCTATAAGCCAAGATGTTAGTCAACCTTGATCCTTTGGCAGTGAGAAGCAGACAAGTGAACAGGACTTTGACATATTCAGTCTAATGATGATCTTCAATCAGCTCCTCGGTTAATGTGCTCGATCATGGAGGAATGCTTTCCTGATGATCTTTGGAAGCAGCAATGTCTCAACAGTGCAGTGGGTTCACAGGTCTACCAAGCGGTCAGGCTGCTCAGAGTTCACTGAATGATTTGCTGGCTCTGAAATCCTCTGTTGTTGCACCTCAGCTCAGATGGACCTTTTGTGATGTATTTGGATCAGAAGACACTACTGCAGTGTCTGAGCCAGGTGGTGCAAATGTATTAGCTGATACTTGTTAGCATCTGAAGAAACATACTGAGCAAAATCAGAGAACAGTAGTGGATGGATGATTTGTTGGTTAAAGAGATGAGTGTTATAGTAACTCCAGCTCACCTACTTTGCAATGTGGAGTCTTACTTTGTCTCTCTTCAGCATGGGTGCCACCTTTTTGGAGCTGGTTGTACTTGCATTCAGGCCAGAAAATTAAGCTCAGGGAGAGAGGGTGTTCAGATGGTTAACTGTTTCAACTTATTCTTTTTGAGTGATTTTAATTTGCTCTTACGACTGCCAGCCTACTAATAGAAATAAAATAAACCTTTTCACACACATGTATATAATTAAGCACTTGACGTTTAAAAAAAAAGTATAACTGATTATGTTAAATTCAAATTACATTTTATTCAGAAACTGCATCAATATTGTAAAGTTAAAACTTATGGTAAATAGCACATCTTCACATACATCTGCAAATGCATGCATTTATTACTTTTACAAGGGCAAACTACATTCAATGAATATTGATGGCAGTGACATGTTTTATTAATAAATACTGTATGAAAAGTAAATATAACATTTAAAGAGATGTAGATGAGATTTTCTGTTGTCTGTAGTGAGTGTTGTCAATATGCTAATGTGAAATTTAATTATGATTATAAAATAATAAACAACCTTTTAATGTTTTTCAGGATGACACTTAAATCAATGTGATTCATTAATAATTTAAATAACCTAAAAATGTTTTCTTGAGCTGTGTCTTGGGTCTCTTTCTGCTTTATGTGTTTTCCTCAACCACTTCACTGGGTACACCTGTTGAGCTCCTCTTATCTGATAAGCCAATACATGACAAAAATCAATGCATTTAGTCACATAGGCTGAGACTTCCTGCTGAGTTCAAACTGAGAATCAGGATGGAACTTTGAGTGATTTTACACACACACGGTTGTTGGCGCCGACAGTTTCTGTGTATTTCAACTGCTACAAAATCATCTCATGGATTTACAGAAACGGTCTGACAGAGAGAGTTTCATTTCTGCTGGATGGGTCAGAGCTTGTGTAAACGCATGAAAGCATGGATCATCCTGCCTTCCAGCAACAGTTCAAGCTGCTGGTGTTAAATCGCGCCCTTAGTAACACTGAGCATGTTGAAATCCCCAGCTAATGTGTATGGAACTTGTCCATGCCCATCCCTTTATGATGCATATGGTAATAAAGGGCGTCAAGGGTGGAGAGCTATAATACAGCTCTGCCTTCATGCTTGACGGTGGGAACAACACTCCGATGGTGCTTGGAATTCTATATCATCGATTAAAAAACTAAGATAGTCAAATTGATGATTTGAGAAGTGTCCTTGTTCAATGACACATTGTTCTGAACTAAGTTTATGCAAATGTAACATTTCTGTAAAACTGGCACTCCATAGAGCGCTCTTAAAATAATTTATCTGAAATCAAATCTTTGGAAAGCTACGAGAACGTGTGTCTTTTCCCGATACACTTCTGCATAGTTCTCCTTGCTTTCATATTTTCAATATTTGCAATTACCAACCAGGTACTCCGTTTTCCCTATTTGAAGATTTTGATTTGACAGATTTTTGAATAATGCACTCATGAATATATTGTGACTCCATAACAGGCATCTGTTTCACGCATTCTGTTCAATGACTAACCATTAATGAATGAAACTTTATAAGTTATAAAACATGAATCTTTAGCTAAATGGCAGTTTTTGTAATGATCCCTTAATGCTGACAGTTTATGTCTGACCAGTACAGCTCTGTTCCTAAACAGACTGTGAGGATCAGCTTTGCAGGTGTAGCTGCTCCCTACTCAGTTGAACACTGCGGTCCTGTTGTGAGCTGATTTTTTTCTTGATCCTAACAAAACAAAGAATTTCCAGAGTAGCAGACATGAAGCAACGTGAAACTTTATTGAAAACTCTTTGTTCTTGTTTGCTTTTTGATACAGAGAAAAAATAAAGAGAAGGGGTGATAGGAGTCTTAAAGACAATCAGTCAGTTGCTGGGAGACTGACGCAGAACAGAAACAGCACAGAGCTTTGAAGAGTTTTTGGAGGAAACCTTTTTCTTTCTTCTTGGTTTTAAGGTCTTCACAGCTCTCTGCAGTATTGGTAACTGGTATAAGTGGTTCATACATGGATGATGTTTCTGAAGGGTGTTCCTCACTGG